CCCCAAAACCCCAAAACCCCAAAACCCCGTAAGCCAATATTAATGTTGAACCTTCTTTACAAATAATTGTCTCTTTTAAGTAAAAGTTATCCCCTTGCTTTATCCTCCAGTTTGCCCTTCTTCAACATTAGGGATCGGAGAGCATCTTGTGGCTCTCACATACTCCCAGATGCATTCTATTAACATCTCAAGAAATTCATGAAATTCAGTAATTACCCAATATCTTGGTCTTCTTCTTCTAAAAGAACTCTCTTCGATTCATATATTTTCTCTTACCCAGTGACCTATCATTGAGATTATCTAGGAGCTTACCAAGAATTCTTAATGTTAATCTACTGCTCCTTAGAGAGAAAAATATAAGATAGTAAACCTGTTCATCTGTTATTTCAGTATTTCTATATTCACTGAGATTCCATGCTCTTATCATGTTTTTAATTATATCCAGTAAAGCTCTGAAAAAGCCAATTCTTGGGACGTGGGAATGCTGGTCACGAGGAGCATTTTTGCATAAACTGGTTTGTAGAAGTTTTTCGAACTGAAATCTTCTCCATGGAGGTCCTCTTTCAGAGCTTTGCCTTGCTGTAGTTTCTCTTCTAGGAATTCTTTCCTCTGATTCGTCCCTTCTTCTCGATTCACTTTCTCCAATCTGGTTATTAAAGACTTCTCTTCTGTCAGGAGGTCTTCTGGAGTTATCAACCTGATTCGAGGAAGAAGGACAATGACGAGAAGGAGAAGGCGTTCTGAAATGATCTAAATCTTTGTTTTCTTCAGATCTTCAAGGACTATATGCTCTAAATAATTACTAGACCAATCTCACACCAAATCAAATCCTGTGGTTGAGTAAAAAGCGGAATCAATTTTTCTATATATCTCATTGACACTCCCTATCAATCTTCTGCAAAATGGTTCAATTCTCCTTGTACCCTGCCCGAAGATCTCGTGGATACCGCTTCTACAGTCATCTGCGGCGGCTTCTAAACTTTAGTAGTTTGACTTATACGAATCATGGCTTTGATCTAGAGTAAAGTTAGTCAGACTTCACTGAGAAATAGTTTACCTCTCTTCGGTGGGCATTCATGCTTTTTGTAAATTCCTTACTTAGATTGCTTTGACTTGGTTGGGGAGCGGAACGAGGAGGGGGAGGGGCTGAAGCTGGGGATGCGGGAGGAGGTGGATGAGCCGGATTTGCAATAACAGTGGTACTTTCTATACAAAAATAAGTTAAAGGAAAGAATGATCGATCTACTTGAGGGACTACTTGATCTCACAGGACTGTGAGTCTGCTCAGGTGAGCTAGGAGCAGATTCTTGAGATAATAGACAAGGCATTGATGAATCACTGCCAGAATCTGCTAGATCATTTGTTGGAGCTTCTTCTGGAGCTTCTACTGAAACTTTTGATGGATCCTCTCCTAGAGAGTCTTCTAGAGCATCCTTTTGTGCTTCTTCTGGAGAATCTGTTGGAACAGTTATTACATCTCTCAGCTGTTCTGACCTAGATTTTCTTACGATTTTATCTCTGCTTTGTGCTAGAATAGATATAAGTATTATGATTTTTACTTCATTAGCAAAAACTGTTATCAACTTAATCTTAGGGCTTAATGGAACTAGTGTTACCTTCGTCAATTTCACTTGTTTCACCACTATTATGATCGCCTAGGTAAATATTAATATAGTTGAAGGAGCAAGATAAAATCTCAAAGAGGCTCCTCTAGCTATCAAATCAGCATAGCTCACAAAGTGTCAATTTGAATTGCCCATTCTTCTAAAAATATCTGAGGTTGGCTTACTCATTTATGCTGTTAATAAACTAAAAATTATAAGCTAACTGAAATATTATGAAATATGGGGTTTTGGGGTTTTGGGGTTTTGGGG